TTTACCAAAAAAGATGGCGGCGCCCAGCAACCAGTGGCCCGGTAAGGAATTGCACCCAAGGCATATATTATTATGAGTACTATCTTTGCTGTCCTGCCACAGTTGTTCTACTTCTATTTACCGGTCTTCATACTTTGTGATTGTTTCCATTTCTTTCTCTTCTATCCTGCTGTCTCCAGGCACTGCCATGTCCACTCTGCAGACTTTTTGGTTTTTACTTATGGACAATTGTTATAATTGTTACCATATTGTTGTAAGGTACAGTAATCAAATCTTTCCTGTCTTATTCTAAACAGAATCAGTTTCATCAGAAGAACCAGACTGGGTTTCTTTCTGAGGCCCAACCCTTTCTCAGATCTGAGGTGTCTTTTATTTTTCTTTAATGCCTCCTGCACACATTCATCAAGGTTACCTCCACGTCCCTCTCCACAAGATTCCAACAGCATGAAAGTTGTAGGTCCTCAACTGGCTTGTTAGAATAAATCAACTCTAGATAGGACAGAAATGCCTCCATGTACACAACCGTCTTAGCTGGGACTTCTAGCTGAAGGAGATGGGATGAGAAGAATGGCTAAGTCTTTCCACCTGTCCTTACAGGGTTGATGTTGCCAATCACCTTGAGAAGGTCCTTCAGCAAGGGAGAGACCTGCTTTCCGGCTACGAGAACAAGCTGGCCATCGAAGACACAATTCCCGAGGATGTCCATGCTCTGGAGCAGAAGAGGGAAGAATTGCTGGTGAGTGGCTGTTATCTGAGAGAGAGAGAGGGATTCGTTTCAAATACAGGAAGGATAAATTTGACTTGTCTGTATGAATGAAGGATGGGGAGGGGCTTAGCTCCCTTTCTCAGGAATTACAGAAGCGGAATGTGGAATGAAGTCTTCTTCATGATGGTGTCCAAAGACAATGCGGCCTTCTGAGATGATAGGTGTTGCAGCCCGGCACAGTTGGAAGGCTACAAGATGGAGCAGGCTTGCCTGGCTGCGCGTCCTTGCGTACATGTACATATAGATACGTATTGCAAAGGCCCTACAACTGAATCTCCTATATCAGTCAGCATTCAGCTGCCAATACTCCCCTGGGCACCCTTCATTTGGCTAAAATGGGGAAGGAAAGAATATCCATGGACCAGAAGATGTTTTAATATTTTTTTTAGCTTTGTGCAGTTCCTAGATCTGTACCTTAATTTATTATTTGATGCCTTCTTGGAAACACGGAATGAAACCTTGTTTAGGCAAGATGGTGAACTCTTATGAGGCTCTTTGAGACAGGCTGGCGTCTGAGTAAACATGCACAAGAGCTCATGTGTTCTTCACAGTTGGGTTGGAGTCAGTCAGCGGAGGCTTCCAGGATCCAATAGGCCCCTGGGATCAAAGGTTTATTCTTCTGAACTTTCAGACTCCTGCTGGAGCCCATCCTCTCTCACTAGAATGGGTGCACTGAACTATTCTATGCCTCTTATTTACCAGGGCCCTGGTTGCGTGTAGCTTTTAGTTGTTAATAAGGGTGTTGACAGAACAACCCAGGAGAAACTCTGGAGAGAGAAGTTTCCCAAGGATGGGCTCCAGCACGAATCCAAAAGCTTGGAAGAATAAATCTTTGGTCCTGGTGATCGACTCAGATTGGGTCCTGCAACATTATCCCGGGACATGTATGTTTGCCTTCATTAACTGAGGCTCCTATATATATATTCAAGTTTATAAAACATGTACTTTCCTCGTGGTGTTTTGGTTTGCTGTGGCCCCTTCAGTTCTTTTTATCTTGAGTATAGTTTTGCGCAAGCCACAGAAGAGAGACAAAACCCTCGAGTGAAACAATGTTGTGCATGCCACAGTAAAAAGATTGTAAGAATCTTCATCCAGGTAAGTTTGCTAAGAACCAGTGATGGGATTCAAATAATTTAACAACTGGTTCTCTGCCCTAATGATTTCTTCCAACAACCAGTTCACCAAACTGCTCAGAAAGCTAACGACTGGTATTCCCGAACTGGTGCGAACTGGTTGAATTCCACCACTGCTAAGAACCCATCTTCCTGTTCCTCCCAGGCGCTGAATTCTGAACTCCAGGTCCAGCAACTGCTGAATGAAGCCCAACAAGACTTGGAGAAGGCCAAGAGATGTTCTAGTACCTTGGCGAGCCAGTTCCAAGAACACTGCCCAGACATTGAACGCCAGGAAGCTGAACTCCACAAGCTCAACCAGCGGTTTAGCAACCTCAACAAGCAGTTGAATTACAGGTCAGGAGGAGGGAGAGGTGACATCAGGTGGTCATCAAGAAGGACCTGGGGGAAATGGGAGCATGGACTAACAAGCTAGCAGGAGAAGGAAGACCCCAACATTGGTCCGCCTGTTTTCTAAGCATGCTCTCCTCCTGCAGGAGAACATGGCTGTTTTTTGGCTTTCTTCTTAAGGTGCTTTAGAATTTCCTGGGTGTAGTATCCTCTTTTCTTTGCAAGATAGTGAAGTGTGCAATTAGCAATCACTGTGTGTTTCCTATTCTTTGTGTGTAATGCAGTGTTTCTCAATCCTGACATCTCTTATAAAATGTGTGGACTTCAACTCATGATGGCTGGAGAAATGCTCGGAATTAAAATCCATCCATCTTAGAGTTGCTAAGGTTGAGGAATTCTGCTCTAATGTCTGTTTATTTGCTCTGCTTCCTCACTTGGAAAAGCTTCTTCTTGTTATCTCCCTGGGATTTCATAAAATCACAGGAAAGGTGCATGCTGCTAGAGAGATGACTGTATTATGCAGTAAAAGACAGCATTTTCCCCCTAGTCCATTTGGTAACAAAGGCAAATGCCAGCTTTCCACATCGATATTAAGAATGGCACAGAATTTTGCTGCAGAGATGGGGGTGGAGATGAGATTGTAGGAGAAAGCAAGGGAGGGGGAAAGGGGAGGAGAAGGTTTTGGCACAGTAATAAGGTGAACCTACATTCTTCTGGTTTCTCGCAAAAAATATTGATTGGGGGAAATTGATTTATTTAATGACTATGACATTCACTTAAAGACCACTGCAAAAAAAAATGGATCTGGTTATATATGGCCTTAACTTACGTCTGTAACGATTTTGACTGTAATTCTGGGCTCAGTTACGTATGTAAGTTGACAATATCTGTACCACTTTCTAGATCCGAAGTGCTGCAGAAAGCAAAATCTGCCTATTCTAACTACCGTGCTGGCCATGATGAACTAAAACGTTATTTTGAAAACATCCCCAACTATGAGCCTCAAGAAAATGATCACTTTTCTCAGGTGGAAACCAAGTTGAAGAAGCAGCAGGTAATCAGATAACTGGGGGGTGGGGGATGACTGCAAAGATTATACAGCACAACTCTATTCAATCTATTGCATATGTTTTTTAAAGAAAAGCTATCTCTGTGCCTTACGTAGCTCTTGGGCCCCAGTTGAGTATTATCAAGAAAAGTTAGAATTCCCAAATTTTTTAGGCCAAGGGTTCTTTTAACTACTTCCTGGAGAGGCCAGGAATTGAATTCTGGACCTTCTATTGCCAAGCCACATGTTCTTCTGTTGCATGATGGCTCAAAGCTAGATTTGGGTCCTAAGAGAAGAAGCTTAAGCAACAACTGTTGAATGCAAGCATGGTCATATATCTATACTGATTATCTGTAATCAAGTTGATTGTCAACTCTTTGTGACCAATAGATTTTCTTCAGGAGAATCTGTCCCTAACCTTCAAGTCTTCCAATGGTGTACTCATCACTGCTGTTGGGTGTCCTCTTCTTTTTTTTATATATCCATATAGCAGGATTTAAAAACTTGGCTGAATTAGCAGCATTCTTCTAAAGCTAAGGGATCTAATGTCCACAGAACTGGAAAGGAGGAGAGATGAGGAGTTTCAAGCTCCAGTCACTTTGGGATAAGGTTCCATCCATCATTAGCTGTTCCAGCCTGCTATTAACTTTTCTCATAAGTCATGGGCCCTTGATAGACAAGGAGCACCCCTTCCTCGCTCCCATTCAAAGTAAGGTGGTACCATCTATCTCCTGGCTCTTTAAAAGCGGTCACCTTTATTTGCTTTTTCAGAAACTATTGGAAGAAATTGCAAGCAAGGAGAAAGAGGTCCAGAAGGTCTCTGCAGAAGTTCAGCAGTATCAACAGGCGGTGAAGGTAAGGAGTGGCAGAGAGGAAGCAGCAAACAAACAAAAAATTACACCCTGTTGCAGAATTGCACTTTGTAGGTGCCTCCAGCGTTACACCCTCTCTCCTCTTCCTAGGACTATGAACTAGAAGCAGAAAAGCTGAGGTCCATCTTGGATCTGGAAAGTGGCCGTAATGGTTTCATGAACAAGAGACCGAGACTCCAGTCCACAGCTCTTAGAGTGAAAGAAGAGGTATGTTTAACAGGGTTGTACTAAAGATGCAGAGCAAGGTACGCTCAGGGTAGGACCTCTGGCCAGTAGCTGGGGAAAAGACAGTATCTGAAATCTAGGATGGGGAAGCCAGCTGGGTGAGACTTTGGGCCAGTCTCTTTCTCAATCCACCTCACTGGGTTGGTGTTATGGGGAAAATAGAAAGCTGAGTACTAGGTATATTCAACAGCTTGAGTTGACCAGGTAGGCTTCTTTCAATTTTAATAATAATAATAATAATAATAATAATAATAATAATAATAATAATAATAATAATAATAATAACAACAACAACAACAACAACAACCTGCAAATAGAGCCACGATGGTGCAATGTTTAGAGTGCAGTACTGCAGGCTACTTCTGCTGACTGCCAGCTGACTGCAATTTGGCAGTTCAAATCTCACCAGGGCTCAAGGTTGACTCAGCCTTCCGTCCTTCCAAGGAGGGTAAAATTTGGACCCAGATTGTTGGGGGCAAGAGGCTGACTCGGTAAACTGCTTAGAGAGGGCTGTAAAAGCACTGTGAAGCGGTATATAAGTCTAAGGGCTATTGCCTTTCCTTCCTTCCTTCCTTCCTTCCTTCCTTCCTTCCTTCCTTCCTTCCTTCCTTCCTTCCTTCCATCCATCCATCCATCCATCCATCCATGGTACACAGCGGTTAGAATGCAGTATTGCAGGCAAACTCTGCCAATTGCCAGCAGTTCGATCCTGACTGGTTCCAAGTAGACTCAGCCTTCCCTCCTTCTGAGGAGGGTAAAATTTGGACCCAGATTGTTGGGGGCAAGAGGCTGACTCAGTAAACTGCTTAGAGAGGGCTGTAGAAGCAATGTAAAGCGGTATATAAATCTAAGTGCTAAAAGAAAGCCAAGATAGGACAATAGTGATCAGGCACCTTGGGTGCAATCCCTAAACATCTGGGGCATCCTTTGGAACACTATTGGCATTGAAAAAAACTGAGCATCAGTCGGTTGCAAAAGGCAGCTTCACTTGGAACAGCTTACATCTTGCAACATCTTTAACACCATCAAACACCATCTGCCTCTCCCTTGTCCTTCGGAAGGACTCGATAGGTAGACAAAAATGCCAATTCCAGTCTAAATATCTGGCTGATTGTGTTGGCCAACTCCTAGTGACCCTGGGCAGTTTGAAAATTGTTAAACACATTTCAAAGCAAAAAAAAAGCAAGATATTAAAAGAGCAAAGATGGCCGAGGTAACAAACCTCAATAAATGCATTTCTCCCGTTGATCCCACCATCCTCAAAATGAACCCATCTTCCATTTGCAGGAAGCTCTCTTGGCTGCCAAATTCACTGAGATCAACGCCATCAACAGGCAAAGGCTGCAGAACCTGGAGTTTGCTCAGACCTTGTTGAAACAGGTAAATTCTTTTCTACTAGTTCTTGCCGGGAAAAATGTCCCAACTTTTATGGATAGAACCCAACTTCTACAGATGGTGCATGGATGGCCATCTACAGAAATATTTTAATAAATAGAATAGAGGAAACTTAATATGAACCTGCACCTGAAGGCAGGACAAGAAGCAATGGATGGAAAGTAATCAAGGAAAGAACCAACCTAATTTCTGACAGTGAAGTTAGAACAGTTAACCAGTGGAATGATTTCCACTTTCACAATTTAATTTAGGAGATGTTCCTGTATTTTTCAAAGCACCTCCTCTGAATATTTAGCACATCCTCCTTTTCTCCCCAGGATGTGTCATAGGTAAACAGTTTTTGTGGCCTTCACTACTGCTCCTTGTAAGAGACAATGGTGAAATGCTACGCAGTTAAGGGAAATGCACCACTGTCAAATGTTGTGTTCCAGCAAGTGATTTCAGTGGAAGAATAAGCATTAACAAGCTAGGGGCACAATGAGTAAATATGGGGCTAGGGGCACTTCTAGAAAATGTTAACTTTGTGCAAAGGATCTCAAACCTCCAATATGACTTCTCAGCTCCAAGGAAATGATGGGGAAAGATAGGATATGCCAGCAAGGTAGTTTTACAAAGAGTATGAGTAGTGTATAATGTTCCAATCCCAGTTACAGTTGCTGAGAAATGAGCGTCACCTCAGCTGAGTGACTGTGCATAAAATGGTGCCAACTATAGACATCAAGATCTGATCTGCATGAAAGTTGGGGGGAGGGGGGGGAGAGAATTTACTTCCTAGTTTAGCCTGCCCAAAGTTGGAGATCTTTCAGAGAAGCGGAGGCTTCAACTCTCAGGATGTCCAACCAACAAAGTTGTATGTTCTGGGAGTTTTCTGGAAGGCACCAGTTTGAGGAGCCAGGCTCTTGCTTTAGGGACACAGTTGAGATTGTTGAACTGACTCCTTGCTTTCTTCTCAATGGCAGCAACCTGACCTCCAAATGATAGAGAAATCCATTCAGATCAACAAGTCCAATAAGCCCTTGGAAGAAATCTGGAAGTTAAAGAAGGAACTGGATGATGAGACCCAGTCTCGGCAGCATCTGGAGGAAGAGATCAAAGTCATCCAGCAGAACATCTTCCAGCTGCAGAACCAGAAGCCACAGGAGATTGTGCTCAGGAAGGAAGTGGTCAAGAAACTGCCCGACCCAGAGCTGGATGAGAACTACCACAAGATGCAACAGAACCTGACCGAAGAGCAGCGCAAGAACCAGGAGCTTCAGGAGGAACTCCAGACCCTGAAGCAAAAGCTTCATGTTCTAGAGCGCGAGAAAAGAGAAGGGGGACAAGAGTATGTCGTCAAAGAAGTCCTGCGGATCGAGCCAGACAAAGCCCAGGCAGAAGAAATCTTGAAGCTGAAAGAAGAACTTGAAGAGCTCAAGAGACAGGAAGGGAGCCGGCAGAATGAGATGGCCCTTCTCCGCCGCCAGATCGAAGCTCTTTCCAACGAGAAGATCAGGGATCAGGAGAGGGTGACCGAAAAGGCGATAGTGAAGATGCAAAACGATCCCCAGCTGGAGATGGACTATAAGCAGCTGCAGGAGTGTAAGCAGAGGGAGAGTATGCTGAGGCACAAGCAAGAAGAAGAGCTGCGTTTCCTCCAAGACAAGCTGAAGCGGCTGGAGAAAGAGCGGGCCATGGCTGAGGGCAAGATCACCGTGAAGGAGGTGTTGAAAATGGAGAAGGATGTAGCAACCGAAAGGGAAGTGAATGAACTGCGGCGCCAGTACGAGGAAGAGAAGGCCAAGGCCCGCTTGAATGAGAGAGAGAAAGACGAGCTGCTTAGGAAGATTCAGGCTCTGGAGGAGGAGAACGCCACGGTGATCGTCCAGGAGAAGGTACGGGAGATCATTCGCCCAGATCCCCAAGCTGAAAATGAAGTGGCCAACCTTCGCTTAGAAGTGATGGAGCAGGAGAGGCGATACCTGGGTGGGGAAGAGCAGCTCCGGGCCTGCCAGAATGAGCTGATGACTCTGAAGAGCAGAGGGCCTCGGGTGGAAGTCCAAGAGATCATCAAAGAGGTCATTAAGTACAAAACAGACGCGGAAACGGAAATGGAGATGCAGCGGCTCAGGGACGAGATTGTAGAAAGGACCAGAGCCATTGAGAGGGCAGATCTGGAGATCTATAAGTTGAAGCAAGAAATCGAGATCCTGAAGGAAGCCAAGCCTCACATCCAAGTAAAGGAGGTCCTTCAAGAGATCCTGCAGTACCGGGAAGACCGCCAGACAAAAGAAGAAGTCGAGTCCCTGCGAGCTCAGTTGGTTGAGGAGCAGAAGAAGCACATGGACTTGGAGAGGGAGAAGAAGCAACAGGAGGAGATCATCAGGCAGAAGGAGGAAGAGCTCTCCCAGGTGAGGGAAAAAGTGGTTCAGCAGGAAGTGGTGAAGCTGGAACAAGACCCTACCTTAAAATCGGAGATCAACACCTTCTCACAGAACATTGAAAATGAGCTGCAGCAAATAGACTCGCTCCGGACTGAGATGCGCAAGCTGCAGAGGAGACGGTCACATCTGGAACGCCAGCTGGAAGATCTGGAGAAAGAAAGGAAGGCCCGCAGGGAGGCCGAACTGGAGGTGCAGAGGCTGAAGATCAGACTGAGCGAGTTGGAGGAAGAAGAGAAGGACACGGCAGAAAAAGTCACCGTGAGGCAAAAGGTGATTCTTCAACAAGATCCTCAGCAGGAGAAAGAGCACAGTCTACTTAAGTTGGAACTGGAAGAGGAGAAACACAAGAAGCAAGTGCTGCAAACAGAACTGGAAGCCCTGCGGAAGAAACTGCAGGCGCTGGAGAAGATGGAGGTCAAGGAAAAAGTGGTCTTTTCAGAGAGCGTCCAGGTGGAGAAGGGAGACACCGAGTATGAGATTCAGAAGCTGAAGAACAGCCTAGACGAGGAAAGCCGACGGAAAGTGCAACTGGATTCCGATATTTATAGGTTGGAGGCCAAGCTTTCCGAAATGGAATTTAGCAATTCCAAATCTTCCAAGGAGTTGGACTTTTTGAGAGAGGAGAACCACAAGCTCCACATAGAAAAGCAGAACCTCCTTCTGGAGATGAGGAGTTTGCAGTCGGAAATCGAGCTCACGGCGATGGAAGCCCAGGATTTGAAGAGCATGGCCCAGGAAGACCGACGTATCCATCTCGATTCAAGGTTCCACAATCTGGAGAAAGAACTGGAAGATCTGAAAAGGCTATCTCAGGAAAAAGACGAGGAGATCGAGCAGCTTCAAAACCGCCTCCAGACCGTTGCTATCAAGAGGGAGCAGCGAGAAAACCACCTGAGGCGCTCGATTGTGGTCATTGACCCGGACACAGGGAAGGAGATGACTCCAGAAGAAGCCCATCGTTATGGCCTTATTGAATGGAGTTTATATGTCAAGTTGAAAAGCCAAGAATGCGATTGGGAAGAGATCACAGTGAAAGGGCCCAGTGGTGAATCTTCGGTCATCTTGGATAGAAAGTCAGGGAGGAAATTCTCAATTGAAGACGCCTTGAAGCGTGGAAGATTAACGATGGCTCAATATCAAAGTTACCTCAACAAGGAGATGTCTATTCAGGAGCTGGCTATTTTGGTATCTGGACAAAAATAACTGCTTCCCTCTCAACTTACCTAAGCAAAACTATTTTTAAGCTGATCCAGAGCTTGTCTTGTTACAAATACAGAACTTTTTACTATTTAATGCTTCCCTCAGATCTATCTGCCAAAGCCTCCTGTGTCTTTATTCAACATTTGGGTGCTCCTTAACTTTAGGTCACATACATCAATGTTGCCCAAATTGGAAGATTCTGCTCCTGCATTTTATCAAGTTGCTCTTCTCCAAATTATGACGGACTGTTTTCTTGCAGAGAAGTAGCATTTATCCAGTCTGGATGATCAAACCACGTATTTTGAGTTTGGCATCTCAGATTCCGTCGACTATAAAATCCTGTGAAATGACTTCGGTGTCAACTGAAACCTGGGCACGTCCCATCGCCATAAATTCAGAATTAGATGGCCTTAAGTGAATGCTCTTTTCTTTTTCCTTCCAGAAGCATGGAGAGGATGCTATCTTACCTTCTGGAATTATTTTAAAAGTTAATGCAGTGTATGGGAAACTCTTAAGCACTTTCAAGCATTACCTGAAACCTTATTAAAACTGCATCAACTGGTCTTTTTCTTCTGGAGAATACTTCAAAGTTTAGGAAGTTATCCAAAGAAAGAGCAGGTGGGTGGTAGGTGGGCAGCAGATGCTTAATAATCTTTCATTGAAATGGGCAAGTAAAACTTGGTTGAATGTAATGGACTGGCATTAAAACACAATATGAGAGATTTGCAAGAATGATACATCGTACCATGATACAACTAGCATTTTGTCATGCTGGATCTTGACTTTATAAAAAGGTTACCTACATGATATGGGAGCGGTCAAATTTTAAGGCAATAAAGATGTATGTATACGCCTGTTTGATGATGGTGTTTATCCTGTAGATCAGATTATGTAGAGGTTTCTAATTCTTTAAAACAGGGGGGAGATTAACAGAAAACTAATACCAATTCCAAGTGCCTTTATTTTTCCCAAAGTCTCACTTATAAGATGCATGCACTGTTTTGCTGACTTATATTTGACTGTATGTATTCAAGTTATTTGTTGGAGAAGGGAAATGGGAAAAGTTATTTATACTCCTCAGTTATTATAATAAAGAAATGATCTAAGTTAATGGTTCTTTAAATCTTTTGCCTTTCTGTCAATAAATGAATATTATAGGCACTAAATTCATACAGTTGTATACAAAGAGACACAGAAGATGGAATTGGGTATGGCTAGTCTAGGGAAAAGAAAGACTAGGGGTGACATGTAGCAATGTTCCAATATTTGAGGGGATGGCACAAAGAAAAGGGGGTCTCAGAACTGAAGAAGCTGCTTGGATGACAAGCGAAACGTTTTCAAAGGGGGAAAAAAGCAAGAAAATCCAATTGTCTTTTGGAAAAGCACCAAACTTTGAGACAACCATGACTTGGTTGTTTGAGAATCTCAATAAATACCTAGAGCTTTGTATTTCGCAACTTTGGTACCTGCCAGAATTTAATCTTCTAACTCCCAGGATTTTTAGCAAAGACCTTGCTGACTGGGAAATTCTGGGGAGTTGAGATGCATCCATCCATCCACCCACCCAAACTGCCCACACATGCTTGCATGCATCTCCCACCTCCATCCATCTACTCATCCATCCATCTACTCATCCATCCATCCATCCATCCATCCATCCATTCCCTAAGCTGGAGAAAGCTAAAGCTACCAGGATGGTAGATGGCAGCTTCTAGGACCTTAGATCTGACATCTCATCCATCTTTCAGCGACCAATGTCAAGGAGCTTTGCATCTAATTTCAGGTGGCTCTACCTTTCAGTAGCCCTGCCCCTTCCCACAACCCTCATTTCGGAGTCAATGAAAAATATTCTGGAAAAAAAAAACAATTTTATTCAGTTGCAGTATACAAGATTAATCATTTTCCATGTCACCTCCATCCTCCTCATTTCCTAGAAAGGCTGCCGTTTCCCCAGCCAACCCCCCCCCCCCCCAACCCAATCCCATTTTCTCCCAAACACACAAAAATAAATCACAGCTCTTTCCGCACCTAAAAAGAGGCTGCTTTTTAAAACTTTTAAGTGCCATCTGGTGGTGCTTATGCCCACCGTAAACAAAAAACCTCCCCCAACAGTCAAAGCCAAAGCAGACACCCTCCTGGGGCGAGCAGCGACCAGTTGCTACCCAGGCACTGCCCCCCTCCCCAACGCCTGCCGGCCCTCCCACCCACCGCTCTTTGATCTTGTCCTGCCATGGCTTGCTTTTTAAATTCTACTTCTTAAAACACAAGGGGGAGGGGAGGGGGGAGGGAGGAAAGCAGGAGGGGGGGAGAGATTGGGCAGAAGTTCCACCACATAATATTTCCCTGAGGCAAGAGGCTTTGTGAACATTTCCTATTTTTTTTCTTCTTTTTAAATCAGGGGTGTCCAACCTTGGCAACTTTAAGACTTGTGGACTTCAACTCCCAGAATTCCTCAGCCAGCTTTGCTGGCTGAGGAATTCTGGGAGTTGAAGTCCACAAGTCTTAAAGTTGCCAAGGTTGGACACCCCTGTTTTAAATAGATAAGGGGTTCTGCTCCAGCTATGGCAGGCACCAGTAGCAACCAAAGCTTTGGGGAGAAGAGCAAGGGGTGGGTAGGTGGGGGAAGGATAATGGCTCATGCAAGGCCCAAATCCTGCCAAGTGCCGAACGCTTGTTCCTATGACCGATAAAAGCAGCTTTTGGAGAGGTAATAAAATACGGAGTAGGACTGAGCTCTGATGAAACTCAACAAACCCACCAAAATCCATGTTCTTAAAAGAAAAAGAGAAAAAACGCGTTTCAAAAAAAAAATAAAAAATGGGCGTCTTGAATATGCAGTCTTTGGCTTTTCTGCTGCAACTTTTTATAAACAGAAATAACTCTGGCCAACGAGGCCAAAATTAACTGTTGGGGAAATGGAAAAGGAAAAAAGAAATGCAAAAGACTTGAAATAAAATTTTGCACAGGTTAACCAAGAATCCTAAAACATTTCAAAGGAAAGATGGGGTTCTTCTAAGATGGGGTTGTCTCAAGTCAAACAGAACTCGCTGTGTGTGTGTTTTTTAAAAGGGGGTTCTACTTGATGAATCAAGTGCTTTCTCTGTCTGAGTGGAAGAATCAGTAAATTGGGGTTAAAGATGGAAGAAGAGGCTGTGAGAAACAATTTATGCTGGCCGCAAATAGACCTCAAGTTGGGTTGACTAGTTTTCAAGTTGAGTTTGGGAGTTTGCAAGGAAACTTCCTCCCCCCCTTGAAATTCTGGCTAAAGAGTAGCAACTAACCGCCCTGATAGTTTAATGTTCCTTGCAATGTGTGCGCTCAAACATGTTTTTGCTCCAAACAAAAAAAATGGGATTATTGATGCCAGAACTGTTAAAGTTACTCATCTCCTCCTGCAAGGCATTTGTTTCTCTAGAATGGACAGCAGATTAGAGAATCGAACGACAAGCCAAGCCAAATCAAAAATTTAGATAATGAGCTTTACTCCAAAGTCACCTCCAGACCAGATCATCATCATCATCATCTTCTAACGACCCCATAATCCCTTGCGGGGTGGAATCTGAGCAACTGAATGGAGCAAGCAGTGTTTTAATGGCTGGATGCCCTTCCTGTTGCCAATACGGAGTTTTGTTCAGCAGACAAATTCTCCGTGTGCCCAGAGAGAGAAATATCTGCCTCTACCGAGGATGAACTCAAAGCCTCCTGATGGCGAGGTGAAAGCTCCACCTCTAGGCTAGCGCACCGCTCCTTAGCTCCAGGCCAGATGCTGAGTCAAAATTAGGGAGAATTTGCCCCAAACCTTTAGCACAGCAGCCAAGCATAACCAAGACTGAGCAAAGGGTAGCCCTGGTTGGCTTTCAAAAGATCCCCAGCCAGGTAAAAGAGTTGCAACTAAGCAGCTTAAAAAAAGAAGGGGGGTGGGGGAGAGAAATAGTCTACTTAGAAAATTAAGTCCTGAAGTAAAACGGAATCTCGGCATCTCCCTTCCATTCAGAGCATAACGGGAGCTCTTCCAGCTGTTCCAGGCACAAATAGGCAACTCCATGCGAGCATATGTGCTCCCACATCAGATCACTGGATGCGTAAAATGTGCCAGATCTCACAGCAAAGCAGGAAGGTTCCTGCCTGGACTCTTATTTGCACAATGCTAAAGAGAACTTGGGCAAGAGAACGGGGCAGCTTTCCAAGAAATGCCCACCCCACGGATCAGCGTGGCATTCACCGGCGAGCGCAGTTAAAACGGGGACGAGGATGGGCCGCCCACCCACCCTAGACCTCCAAAGTTCCCTTAAATACATCCCGATGCGTCTTAGATAACAGGGAAGGGTGTTTGAAAAAGGAGAACGTTAAAAAAGGCTCTTGGTGAGCTGCAACCAAAAAACAACAACAAAAAAAGAGCTTGGGATAGCTTGCATTCTGGCTCCACCATCAAAAGGCACTGAAATGACAGCTTCGTTTATACGCGTTGACCCATGGGAGTGGGTGGGTGGGTGGGTAAGAAGGGGGCTTAGTCCCATCCGGTGTCTTCAGTGGAGAGAAGGGGGGAGGAGAGCTGGGCGTATTTTGGGGGGCAGGGAAAAGAGAACTGCCAAAAGACCCCCCCCAATCGGTGTTCGAGGTCCACGAGTGCATCTTAAGGCCTCCCGAGTCTTCACTTCCTTGTGAGAGAGGACCGGTGAGCTGCCACGGAGAAAGGAAAGCTCTCCCAGAAAAGGATCAGCAAAGCTTTAGGAAAGGTGCCTTCGGGGAGGAGAGACAACCCTCGCCCCCCTCACGGATTCACTTGGGGCTGAGCTTCGATCAGCCAGTCCATCCACAAGCAGAAGCGAGGGGCCTTGACAGACTCCCGCTGCAGAATTCAGAGGCGCCTGGCAGGAACACACGGGGACCTGCTTAAAGGGTCTCACCTCCCCCTGATCTGGACCCTGGAGGAACTTGGAAGGGAGAGTTGGGCCTGAGAAACGCTTCCTTTCTCAGCACACGGCCCAGACACTCCCCCATCCCCCCCCCCACCGCCACCCAGGGAAGAATCTAGTCCAAACTGGGATAAGGGGAAGTGTGGATGCCACTGAAGGAGGAAGAGCAAGGAAGCAACGGGAGAGCTCCCTTGCTGCATTCTGCAGGCTTTTTCCCCCCCCAGAGGTGGTTGTGTCCTTTTTATTTTCCTTTTCCTTTTCTCAGAACTGTCACAATTTCCGTGGTTGTACATTGGGCCCTTTGCTGTGTAGCTGAGAACTATCTGAAAGAGACACAAAACGAAAGGTCATGAATATACATGGCAGTGAAGCGCCAAAGCCTTAGTTATTAAAAGATATCTCAATCACAGTTTCGACTTCTTTCAAGGATAGAGATCCGCAGGGCAGGAAGGAATTATTATGTCCAGCCAAAAAAAAATGTTCTGCATTGGGGGGAAAAAATAATACCTAGGAACAGAATTCATGGTAGGTGAATGGTTTTGTCATACTCTAGACATCTTTTATTATGTTATTAAATTGAAAAGCACATTTGATTATGTAGTTGGTACCATACTAGAGGCAGGGGGGACAGGAAGAAAAAGATTATTTATTTATTTATAAACTCTTATCTCCCACAATATGGAGAATGGATTATGTGGGGAAATCAGGCAGAAGACTTCAGTGGCAGATTGACTGGTTGAATAAATACATTTTTAGATTAATAAAGGAGAATATTTGTAGCTCAGGGTTGAACTGTGGGGTCCCTTTGGTGCTCTCTGAACTTGGCGGTTTTCTTGCAGACATTTCATTACCCAACTAGGCAAAAAAATCGGTGCTGGTGACTAGCGTTTCATTATCCAAACTAGGTAACATGACGAACACTGATTATGTGACCTAGTTTAAGTAATGACGTCTGCAAGAAAACAACCAGGCTTAAAGAGGACCAAAGGCCCCATATTTTCAGAATGTCCAATTCCAGAATAATTCTGGGTGGCTTCATAAATTAAACAACTTTATATAAAAATAACCACAGCATAATACAGTTGATCACATCAGCAACAAACTCAGAAGAGGGCCAACTAACCCACCCACCTGCACAAATAATAATTATTCTAATAACAAAAAAAAAAAGACTTTACCACAAACAAAAAACTAA